CCTGGGTTCATAGGGGCTCACAGACTCTGGACCAACAGTCAGGGAGCCTGCAAGAGATCAGCCTAGGCCTTCGACATATGTGTGACAATTGTGTAGCTTGGCCTATCTGTGGGACTCCTAGCGGTGGGATCAGAATCTGTCCCTAAGGCTTGAGCTGGCTTTTGGGAACCTATTCCTCATCCTGGGTGGCCTTATCCAGCCTTAATACAAAGGGAGGCGCTTATTCCTACCCCAACTTGCTATGCCATGCTTTGTTGACACTCATGGGAGGCCTGGCCCTTTCTGAACAGAAACAGAAAAGGAGTGGATGGGGGTAGGGGAGGTGGTAGGAGGGAATGGGGGAGAGGAGAGAGAAGAAACTTCAGCTGAGATATAAAATAAATGAAAAATTTAATAGATAGATGATAGATACACAGATAGATAGACAGACACATAGATGATAGATAGATGATAGATAGATAGATAGATAGATAGATAGATAGATAGATAGATAGATAGATGTACATAGATAGATGATACATAGATAGATGATAGATAGACAGACAGACAGATAGATGGTAGATAGATAGATGATAGATACACAGATAGATAGACAGACACATAGATGATAGATAGATGATAGATAGATAGATAGATGTACATAGATAGATAGATGATACATAGATAGATAGATGATAGATAGACAGACAGATAGATGGTAGATAGATAGATGATAGATAGATGATAGATGATACATAGATAGATGATAGATAGACAGACAGATAGATGATAGATATAGATAGATAGATAAATGATAGAGATAGATAGATAGATAGATAGATAGATAGATAGATAGATAGATAGATAGATCATGTATTAGCACCATGTTCTGGACACCAAGCCTCCAGAAATAAATCTCTATTGTAAATTTCCAGCCTCGGGTGTTTTGTTATAGCAACACATGTTTTTTTGTCCTGAACCTAAAAAGGATTTGAGCTAGCACCTATATGAACCAGACGAGAAAGAGTCTAGAAGCATCTTCTTCCCGAGGAAGAAAGAACTAGAGGAGGAAGGAACTGAAGTGTTCCATGGGTGTTGCAGCCAAGAGCCAGGCCCCAGCCTTTCTCCCCCTATAGACCAGTACAGGAGCTTCAACCTCTAGGAGGAGAAGTTTGCCTGGGAAGACAGAGAAGGGGAAGCTGAGTTTTCTTGTGTGGCACTCTTTGTCCCCACCAGAGGAAGAAAGGCTCATCTCAGCGGGATGGTGGGAAGGGATGGGCTCTTGCCTTTCTGGGTGGTTCAGATGCTCGCTATATGTTAAGCCAAGGTGAAGCTAAGGTTCAAGTGTCTGCAGTGTGCATTCATATGTGATGTGTGCACACAGAGAGTGGAGGAGGACACTCTGCTGTGTGAACCACCAGAGGATGCTTGGCTTCATCACTGTGCCTCTCATTCACTTGAGACAGTCTCTCATTCCACCCGAAGCTAGGCTGGAGGCCACTAAGCTCAGTGATCCTCTTGTCCCCACCCTGCAGGGCACCGATGTCACCAGCGCATGTGGCATGCCCCAGCTTTTTCTTGAGTGCTAGAGATGGAGTTCAGGTCCTCGTGCCTGCACAGCAAGCCCTGTGACCCACTGTGCCATCTCCCCAGGGCTGGATGTGAGCAGAGCCCACAACTGAGGGAGACTGGAAGAAGAAGCTAGCAGGAAGCTGTGACAGTTGAGATAGAAAGGCATCCAACAACTGTATCTGAGACTAAATGTTTGTTTAAAGGAAAATCAATGCTTCAGCACGTCTCCTACTTCTTAGATTCCTTTATCTTTCTTAACTCATTCTGTCATACATTAGTCTGGAGTTATCCGTGTTTATTTATTTGTGTGGGTTGCAGGGGGCACATGCTTTCCACGGCACACTGATGTAGAACAAAGGACAATGTGTGGAGTCCCTTTAGGTGGGTCTGGAGGATTGAACTCGGGCCACCAGGCTTGCACATCAAGCACCTTCACCTGCTGAACCATCTTCCCTGGCACAAAATGTGGAATTGGGAGGGGAGGGTGGAAACTCCACGGACAAGGCATGGTGTGTGGAGGTCTCTGCGTGCCATGACAGTTATCTCAGGGCAGCAAGAAGAATAAAAGTCCTTTGTGTGCATGCTGGTTGCTGTGACCTTCGGCAGCTTCCTTTCCTGTGCTTCATCTTCCTGTGTGAAAAACAAGGGGACCGGACCCCATGGCTTCTGTGCCTGGCATCTCCCACCCATGTACAGAGTGTAGAGCCCCAGCACTCCTGCTAAGTGCTATAGCATGGCACTTAAGATAGCAAAGTAATGGTGTGGGCTGTCCTTCTGTATATGTGTTGCTTTTATTGGTTAACGAATAAAGCTGTTTCAGCCAGTGGCTCAGCAGAATAGAGCTGGGCGGGAAAACTGAACTGAATGCTGGAAGAAAGAAGGCAGAGTCAGTGAGATGCCATACTGTAGCCTCCAGAGGAGACAGGCACCGGACAGAACTTTAACCAGTAAGCCACAGCCCATGTGGCAAAACACAGATGAATAGAAACGGGTTAATTTGAGACGTAAGAGCTAGCTAAAAATACTCTTAAGTTATTGGCCAAGCAGTATTGCAATGGGTGGACGAGAAATGAACAAGCAGCCTCCTACTACAGTCTACTGGACATGCTGTCATACGCCTGGTGTCCCAGAACTGAGGCAGAGTAGAAACAAGAGAATGGCGACAAGCTCAAGGTCAGACTGAACTAGCTAGTGAGTTTCAGGTCAGCCAGTGCTACAGAGAGAGACCCTGTCTCAACAAAACACAAATAAACAAAATCTGTCTGCCCGAGTCACCTCAGAAGATTCCTGGGAAGACACATGCCTCTGAGGTGCTCCCTGAGCACAGCTGGTCCGTGGTGTTCCATCTAGTTCCATTCTGGGGTCATAGGTCACTCACCCTTCAGGTACCAACTCCATTTCAAGCACCCACTCCATCCAGGGACTTCTATTCTTGCCCACTAACTGACGGACAGAGTGGAGGGCACACAGCTCAGACCCAAGGGATTTGCACCACACTGGACATGGGCAGCAGCCCACTCACCCCTCACTAATTGGTGGGACTCCTAGGACAGGTCCGTCTTCTTCATCTCTGCCTGGAAATGCTCAGCTACGTAACTGCTGCGATTACGGCTTCTAGCCCACAACGTCTGTGAATTTCTGTGGGGCCTACTAGGCTCTTCCTCTGAACGCTGCCTTCCACCCCACCCCCTGCTCCACTGCCAAGTTCTAGCCGTGCTGAATGTTTTCACTTTCAGGTCAGCGCCACCGTGGTCTTCCACAGGGGGAGGCTTTTCCTACCTCAGGGCCTTTGGGCATGCCGTTCCCGAATGACGGAAGGTCATTCGGTGCCTCTCTCTTTGTTGTTGACACCCAGCCTAAAGGAGAGCCCCCCCCCTCACTAAAGGCTTTCTCTGACTCCTGCCTCTAAGAGGCTCCCGCCAGCCCCGCAGCTAGTTCAGGCCTCAGCAATGTGTTTACACGTGACAAATTTCTTCTAGAATCATGCCCAAGTCTCCGATGCTAGGCTGTGTGCTGTGTGTGTGTGTGTGTGTGTGCAACCCAATAGACTTTCACAACGCCCCAAAGCAACTCTTATTTCCATCTTACATATAAAGAAACCCGGCTGGAAAGGAACCTTCCCACATCCTAAGTCTCCATGGCTGAGCTCGAGTTGTATGTGGCTCCCTGCCTTCCCCAGTAGCCCAGGCTGCTTTCCAAGCCCGCCCTAAGCCAGCACCCCTGCCAAGATGGCAGGAACCTGAACCAGCGAGGAGATGGTAGCAGCCTTAGCGTATGCCTAAGTACCCTCAGCATGAATGGCACAGAGAGGGGCGGAGCTATCCCACAGCCAACCAGTCAGGGCTCAGGAGCTCCATCAGCAAAGGGATCTACAGTGGAAACAGCCAAATGCCAAGGCACAGCTTACGGACTGCAGGGTCGGAAGGTATCGCAGCCGTCCAGGAGACCAGAGACCCCCTGGCCAGAGAGAGAAAGAGAGAAGGCAAGTAGGGTGGGCCCTCTTCCCCAGCTGTCCTGCTATCCCAGACCACGGATACTCTTGCAAGCCTCAGCAGTCAGGGCCTCTGGGTCTGGTTCCTTCAGCGGTGTCTCTGCTTTAATACAACTAGCAACACGGCACTTACTACTCTAGAGAGAGTCTTCCCATGGCGGGATGGAAGGTTTCTCATTTCCTACCCACTGAAGGTAGAACAGTTCCCCCAGAGTGTACATTGGCATCTATGGTATTTCTTCTTCCCCATTTCTCCAAACGTTAGGATTCACACATCCCAAGTCCCCCTCTGCTAAACATCCCATTTCTCCCTCCGTGTGCCACCTCGGGTCCCTTCTCAATCTAGAGCCTGTTCTGGCGCATCCCTGACTCCCTGGTATGTGCTCTGCGACACTGTAGGCTAGGCTAGCCATCAGCTATAAATAAGGCCACTGCGGTCTAACCTTGGCATCCCTAACAGCCAAGAGCCTTTCTACCCCAGAGCTTGCATGTCTGGACAACGCTCTGTGGCTTCTGAGGGCCCTATGGAGACGACGTGATGCCACAGTGGGGAGCACAGGGCCCCTTTGTGTGCTCACTGGAGCACCCACCACTTCAGTCTGTTGCTACTAATGAGCTGCGACATCGACATGCGTCGGAAGCAAGATCCTGACGTTTGCAATGTCAAGACCTGCCATGCCTCAGAGTGATTGGCACATGCTGTCATTAGACCTGGTTACCCCATTCCACGGATGTGGAAATACCAGGGCCCAGGGCGAGGCAAAACCAAAGGGGCCCCACACCGGATTACATCACCAGGCCCCTGCTCTGCTCTTCTGAACAAAGTACCTTGGGAACAGGGGTGCTGAGGAAAAGGCCAAGGAGACAAATGAGGCCGTTGCAGCGGGGGTGGGGGGTGGGGGGAGGAGGTAGGGGAGGTGATGGCGGTGGTGCGGGGGAGAGGCCGACGGGCACTCACAGGGCAGCGTCTCTGCGCTATTCTTCTGGATCATAATGCAGAGCTGTAGCACCAGTTGGGGCGCGCTCTCCAGAAAGGTCTCCAGGAGGCGCAGCATGTTGACATCTGCGTATTCGTACATCATAGCCCAGTAGAAGCGTCGCTGGTGTTCCTTCTGCCGCTGGCTCTGAATCCCCAGGTACATGGTGCGGATATACCTGCGGGGAGACATGGGACAGAGCACACGTGTGGGTGGGGCTTGCAGAAGGACAGCGACCCGCCTGTGGTGGCATTTCCCGACTTCCTGCTGAGGTCCCCAGGAGCTCGAGTGGGATTCAGATTCAAAAGGATAAAGAGGTGAGGCGTGGGGTCCAGTCATGGGGGGAGCTGGCCCTACGAGGGACCCCAGGCCAGGCCTCTCCATCCTGCCCTCCACTTACACATACGGGAAATGGAAGCATTGACCAGATGATGCCCCAGGCCCATCAGCTGAGTATTTCAGATGAGCTCAGAGGTAGGTGGGTTTCTTGGGGTACAGGATCAGGGTGGAAGTGGGAAACATTCCACTAGGGTTGGCATTTTTGTTACTCCAGACAGGAAAAGAACTAACTTGTGATGCTCCTAAGAGCCACTCTCTGACTGGCCATACCCACATGTGGAGGAGGTGGGTATAACCCCATAGAGACCAGTTGGACCTCTGAAAGGTTACACCCCCCCCCCCCATACCCCGCATGGTCTCAGTCGGCTGAATGGAGGCTCAAGCAGAAATTGGCCCAAGGTTATTGGCCTCCAAGGCCTGTTGGGAGCCTCCGGGTCTGGACAGTCACAAATCTGTGAGGAGCCACAAAAGCGCTAGGAAGCGGGTCTAGCTGGAGAGCCAGACCCTCCTCTTCAGTGAGGAGGCTTCACAGGGTGGGTAGCGAGCACATGTATGGAGGTCCCCCTTCCTGTGTTAGCCTCACCATCACCAGAATTTTCTGGAGCTTTGTCTCTAAGGATTTGGTGGCTCTACTCAGCCCAGCCCTCAGCCTGGGAGGCCACTCAGCCTATGGGTGAGGGCCAGGGCGGAGGAAGAGCCCAGGATATGGTGGACCTGTCTGGGTGGGGTCCTGTCCAAACACAAGGGTCAAAAAAGTAGAGCTTCCGAATGGTTCAAGAATGGAACCATACACACAGAGACACATTCCTCAGCTGGAACCACACAGACGGCGCACAGGGTTGACAGCCCCCTCAGGCTCCCTGGCCCTCGGGCACGACCCACTTGAGCCTGCTGGATAGCCCTCTCTGTCCTCTCCATGCAGTGACACCGGCACGTGCTGTCCACTCCGGCTCCGTAAGAACCCCTCTTCACGAGGCGCCCAGAGTGCTCTCAGAAGATTCTGGAGTGCAGGCAGGGAGACCCCTCTACCATCTGGTTTCCCAGTGCTCAGAATAACCCCCAGCACTCCTGGGGGCTTAAGGCCTCACCTCACCTCCAACATCTCACCAGCTCTCCTCTCCTGCTCCCTCAGACCTCTCTCTCTCTCTCTTATCTGTCGTTCTTGCCCCCCCCCCCGCCACCCGGAGCGCAGAAGCCCTGCGTGAGTAGGGACTTGCTGATGGCACCCTGGTACATCTCACTGCCTAGAACGGCACCCACGGAAGAAGCAAGTGCATGCTGGGAATGCCTCTTCTCTGGGGCTGGGGACTCCGAGCAGGACCAGAATCTCACAACATCCTCATGGCAGACCCTAAGCCTGCTGGAGAAAGAGGCACGAGAGACAAGAGAAAGGCTGTCCTCACGGCCGCGTAGGGGTGTCACCCGAAGAGTGCGCAGGTGGGAAACCATGCTCAAAGTCCAGACTGGAAAGCACACATTCGCAACACACGTTTAAAACTGAAAGTGCTGCGACCTCTGGTTGCAAAATGGGGGGGGGGGGGGGGGCTTCACTCCAAAACAACAGTTGTGTGCTCAACCCGGAAGGATGGAAGCCCAGTCACCTGTGAGCAGGCCTGATGATCGCCATTTCAAAAGTGGGGAAACTGAGGCTGAGCACCAAACTCTGGCTCTATCGTGAGCTTGCGCTTCCTGCATATTGCTGCTCTGGATACAGAAGTTCTAGGTCCTTCTGTATGCCATCGAGGAACCAGGGAAGGGCTTGAGAAGGGAAGCGCACTGAAATAAGGGAATGAGCTGCGGGTGATGAGACACCACATCTCTTTTCTGAGCCCTTAGAGCTGGTCCAAGCCCTGTGAGGTCGCCCTGCAGCTCATTGGACGGCCTATCGTATATGTGGGCTGCTTCCTCATGTGGCCACACGGTGGCGCCGGATCCTAAGTTTCGCAAAAAGGAGGCGCCACACCGGTGATCTCATACCTTAGGGCTGGCGCCCTCCTATGCGACAGTGCTTGATGCAGGGGCCACCTGCGAGCGGCGGCGCATGTTGGTCAGTATGCACCAGGGTCACAACTAAAGGTATGGTTGGTGCCAAGGTCTCCCCTTCCTCTGAAGGTTCTAGAAAGCTGCCTCGAACAGGAAGGCAGTCTTGGGGAGAACTCACCCACCTTGCTGCTGCTGGATTGACTACCTCATCATCTCCTGTTACATCCTGTCACACTGTCTCTCCTTTAGGAGCACCGGATCTTGCAGTGATCAGTATAAGAGCCAGGAGGTCGCCTGTCGGCTGCACACTGCAGGACCGTGTGACCCCAGGTTGCAGCCTCACCCTAACCCCTCCCCTCATCCATCCCCCGACCCCAGGTTTACCCGCCAGAGAAGGGCAGTCTGAGGCACTCTGGACTCCTGCCAGCATTTTCCATCATCCCCTTTTAAGTGTGTGGCTTCACAGTGTACAAAAGCGCGGCACGCACTTTACACACAGTAATCTGCATTTGAGTGCAAGGCATGGTTCTGAGCAATTGTGTTGAGTTAATGAGCTGAGAGCATTAACTGGCGTAATCCTCACGACCGGTTACAAGGAACCCGCAGCATCACCTCGCTTCACAGATGGCCGACTGAAGCTCTGAGGCAAAGACCTGGTCCTCAGTTTACCTAGCTGCACACAGAGCTAGGCAGAGCATCACCCTTAGGCAGTCTGGCTTTGGTTTATCACAGCAGTACAGATGAGACTGGCGAGCACGTCAAATCCAATCATACGTAGGAAAAAAATGGTGCAACAAAGCCAGATGGGGTTTATCTTGAGCACGGAAGACTGGTTCAAGTTTCCAAATTCAATGACGGCAGACTCCTTCATTAGCAAAACCCACACAGCACATCAACCCAGGCAGGAAATGTCTCTGACAGAATTCAACAACTATCCTTAATGAAAACACTCAACAAGCAAAGCCTAGGACGAAACTCCCCAGAAGCTTATGAAGACGCAGGACACCAGTGAACCCGCACGGTTAACTTCACACGTCACACACACAGGCTGACCGCTTTTGTCTGAAGACCGGGCACAAAGCAACGAGTTCTCCTCTTGCCCTCCTTCAACCTTGTGCCGGAAGGAGCAGCCGGTTCATTGGCTCACAATAAAGAATTGTGTACAGGCGACACAAGCAGGCTGCAGAGGGAGGGAGCCCAGCTCTGTCTGTTAGAGGCTTAGACGGGAAGCGCTAACATGCTTGCGCAAACGCATTCCCGGGACCTACGAGGAACTATCCCACAGAACAAAGGGAGACACAAGCCAACTACTTCTGTAGATTACTTATAGACAGCTGAAATTGAAATTTTAAAACGTTCCATTTAAATATTCCAAAAAGAAATTCTTAGATATAAGTCAAGAAGGCATGAAAGGTGTGTATAATGAAGGTAAATCACGTTAGACGTCAAAGACAGACCATTTTCATGGATATAATTTAGATGGCAACTGCCCACTGAAAGCTTAAAGTAATTTTTAAAGATTTATTTTTTTTTAGTGTGTGTGTGTGTGTGTGTGTGTGTGTCATGGGTAAGTGTACATGGAGGGTAACTATGGAGACCAGAAGATGGTATCAGATCCCCTTGGTACAGGCTGTTGTGAGTGACCCAACTTGGGATTTAAAAGTAGACCTCCACAGGAGTGGCAAGTGCTCTCACCCCTTGCCACCTCTGGAAACTAGGTTGAATGTAATTCTAAGAAAGATCCTGGCAGCTTTCGTCTGTGCAGGTGAGTCTAGATCAGCGTGTTCTAAAGCGTATGTGGAAGACAAAGGAACCAAAATCGCGGAACCAACTTTGGAACCAACTTGAAGCACTCACAATATCTGATTTCTAGGACTGAAAGGTACAATAATTGAGACGGTGTTGGCAAAGAGAAAGACATTGGCCAGAGTCTCAAATCAGACCCACATGAATGAAGCCAGCTGGTTGCCTAGGAAGGCGCACAGAGAATTTAATAGCAAAATGGAATTCTTCCTCGATGATGTGGGGATGACGAGTTGATCACATGGGACAACTGACTTAACAATGTATCACAGGCTGCAATATAAAACCAGAAAACCTTTAGAGAAAAGACAGTCTGCATTAACTGAGGAGTTCAACATGCCCGCAGGAGTCAACCCAGTAAGCTTCAACACTTCAAACTTGTTCTGTGCGAGGCATTAAGGGAATGAAAGGCAAACTAAAGACGGGATAAAACATCCCTGAATCCCATAGCTGACAGAGAAATTGAGCCCATGTTTTCTTCAGTGCTGTAACCACTGGCAAGTTACCCTTGTTCTAGGAACGGACCGCACACCCACACTCACGCAAGCAACGCTATTTCACACACACACACATACACACACACACACACACACACACACACACACACACACACACACCAGCACCAGCACCAAAGCCATGAAAGTGAGATATTCATCAGGAAGAGGTTTAGCCAGTGGTGGTGAAAGAGGGTAACAGAGAGGGTGTCAAATGTCATTTTCTTAAAATGTAACGAAATTCACTTCAAAGTTAAAGAAAATTAAAAAAAAAAGACACACAAATATCTCTTTTAGTAAGATACGGAGCTCTCTGAGTATGTTCCCAGGAGAGGAATGTCTGGGCCATAGGGTAGCACTGCTTTGAACTTTTTGAGGAGTCTCCTAATGGATTTCCATAATGAGTGTGTTAATTTGCACACCCACAGTGTGAAGGGGTTATTTTTTCCCCCCGTAGCCTCTCCATTTGTGTCAGAGTTGGTGATAGCCCTTCTGATGGGGGTCTCAGAGTAATTTCCCAATGACCAGTGATATAGAACACTTTAAAAATAGTTATTGG